ACATAAATTGATAGAAACTGTGTAATGTGCTTAAACTCTATAGCCCCTCCATTGAGACTAACTTTAGTTCTTAGCATAACTGTAGCTCCTCTGTTAACACTTGCTTTTGTCTTTAGCATATCAAAAGCCATTTTGCCTCCAAGTCTTCATTTTGAGCATAAGGTGAAATTAAGTTCAAGTTCTCAGGCCCTACACGCCTGAGAACAGGAGACATTTCAATATAGCTCAATATTTGCTGCTTAGAATAAACCAATCGATGATAGATGCATGTTCTGCTTGAGTTAAAGATAAATGTATGTTCTATTAGTGTGAAGACCACAACATCCTGCTGCGTTCCTAACTCTGGGAAAGCTGGAAAGACCCCAAGAGCAGCCAATCAGCTTGAAATGCTTTCTCTAGCTATCCAGGTACAATGTACTTTTGTTTAGTCAAAATGATGTCATGCTGCCCCTCCCCCCTCCTCTTTCTTCTTACACCTGGTTACCTGTTTACCACCTGGTTATGGTTTTTCATATAAGAAAACTGCCTTAGAAACAGACCGATGCCACAGTCTGCTTCCCAAATCCAGGCTATCCCAACCCAACAGTTTTTGTTCAACATTCAGTAAATTTCCATCAATCTGAGTCTGGTGTTCGAGTGGTCAGTGTGCCACTATTCCTGAACCCATAACAGAAACAAGTTCCTAAATATCTTTTTTCCTTAATTTCTACTGATTTTCAAATTTTTATGCTAGGGATTAGCAGTTTATTCTAAGAAGCAGGGGTGGAGCAGAAAATACAGGTGCCAGTGAATGGAGCAAAGCAAGGGTTGGGAAAGGCACCAAGAGAGCAATAGAGGATGGCAGGAAGAGGTTAGAGGTTAACAAGAATTAAGGGACCCCACAGCACTTTGAAACTGGGGCTCCTGGAGCTATGACTATGGAACATAGAGAATTGGGAGGTACCATGAGTTTGGGGTAAATAGGCAGGAGATGATAGATAGTCCAGTGAGTCATTTACTTTTGTAGAATCTGACTATTTATGCAGACTCTAGGGCCTTTTTTGTATCTTGCTTTTAAGAGTTGGCCTGAGACTGATACTCCAACCAAGGACCATTCATGGAGATAACCTAGAACCCCTGCACATATGTAGCCCATGGCAGCTCAGTGTCCAAGTGGGTACCCTAGTAAGGGGAACAGGGGTTGTCTCTGACATGAACTCAGTGGCTAGCTCTTTGATCACCTTCCCATGAGGGGCGAGCAGCCTTGCCAGGCCACAGAGGAGGACAATGCCACCAGTCCTGATGAGACCTGATAGGCTAGAGTAAGAGGGGAGGGGAGAATGTCCTCCCCTATCAGTGGACTTGGAGAGGAACATGGGCAGAGAAGAGAGAGGGAGGGTGGGATTGGGAGGGGATGAGGGTAGGGGCTACAGCTAGGATACAAAGTGAATTAATTAATAAAAAAATTAATTAAAAAAAAGTTTGCCTGGGCCACAGCACTGAGGGGTTTGTCCTGGTATAAAATATTACAAAAGTAGAATTCTAATAAGTACCAGTGTACTTCATAGACATGATGCTTAACTTTAAGCCAGAGAAAATCCCAGCTGAGAAGGGAAAGTGGGCACAAAATCCTACTCATGGATAAGAACCTATTTGCAACTGAGCTGCTGGCAGATTGAAACCAATTTTCTTCCATGGAGTGTCACTCTCTGTTATCAATGACACTCCAGGGCAGGTCAACACAAAATGACTTCCATGTTTTGTTTTGTTTTGTTTTGATCTGCTTTTTTTCTTATGGTTTGATGTTTCTTGTCATTTTGTTTTTTTGTTTTGTTTTCTTATTTTGTTTTAAATATTTGTTTGTACGTTTGTTTATTTATTTGTTTATATGTAGATGAATGCTTTATCTTTCATGTTCTGCATGCCAGAAGAGGGCATCAGATCCCATTAGAGATGGTTGTGAACCACCATGTGGTTGCTGGGAGTTGAACTCAAGACCTAGGAAGAGCAGATAGTGTTCTTAACCTCTGAGCCATCTCTCCAGCCCCTACTTTCTTATTTTATCTTTGTTTTTTTGCCTGTTCTTTTGGGATGAAAAACATGAAGTTCGGTGAATAGGGAGGTGGGGAGTATCTGAGAGGCCTTTGTGGGAAGGGGAAATACTATAATCAAAATATATCAAAAATATAATAAAAATATAAAATTTTAATTATAAAATTTTTAATTTTTATTAATTATAGTTTATTTACTTTGTATTGCCCCATACGGCCCTCCATCCTTCCCTCTCAGTCCCACCCTCTTCACAAATGACCCTCCCCAAGTCCACTGATAGGGGAGGTCCTCTTCCCCTTTCTTCTGATCTTAGTCTATCAGGTCTCATCAGGAGTAGCTGCATTGTCATCTTCTGTGGCCTGGTAAGGCTGTTCTCCCCTCAGGGGGAGGTGATCAAAGAGCAGGCCAATCAGATTATGTCAGAGGCAGTCCCTCTTCCCATTACTATGTAACCCACTTGGACACTAAACTGCCATGGGCTACATCTGTGCAGGGGTTCTAGGTTATCTCCATGCATGTTCCTTGGTTGGAGTATAAGTCTCTGGGAAGACCCCTGTGTTCAAATTTTCTGGTTCTGTTGCTCTCCTTGTGGAGTTCCTGTCCTCTCCAGATCTTACTATTTCCCACTTCTATAAATTTAAGAAGAAGGGGGGGGGGGGGAGAGAAGACAGCCAAGTGTGGTAGCACACACCTTTAATCTCAACACTTGGTAAACTGAGCCATGTAGATTTCTGTGAATCTGAGGCCACTGTGTTGTGCATTGAAGTTGTAGGACAGCCAAAGTAATAGCCAGACCCTGTTTCAAAAAAAAAAAAAACAAAAAAAAAAAACAAAAAACAACCAACAGCAATAACAACAAAACCAAAAACAACAAAGAAAGAAAGAAAGAGTTATGTTCTTTAGGTATAGAACATCTGAGTAGGCTTATGCTGGAGTGAATATGTGCTCAAAGGATGAGGGATTCTTTGAGAATTTCATACATGCCTGTAATGTATTTTGATCATGTTCCTTCCTCCTCCTTCTCCTAATTCCTCTCGGGACCTACATCTCACTCCCCACTCCCTCTCAGCTTCACTTACTTCTTTTCCCTTTTTATTTTAATAATCTGCTGAATCCAATTTGTGCTGCCCTATATTCATGAGTGTGGGAGCACCCACTGGAGGACGGTTGACCTCCTCACCCTTTCTCCCCGAGAAGTCATCAGCTGTCAGTAATTCCTCAGTCAGAAGTGGGATCTCATTCATCTCTCCAAGCCCTAAGCTGGAATGTTACCGGATTGATTTTGTTTAGGTCGTGAACAGGCAACCAGAGCTGCTAGGAGTTCATTAGTGCAGCAATCCTGCCATGTCCAGAAGGCACTGTTTTCACTCTGGGTCCTCCCAACCCTCTGGTTCCTACAATCTATCTGCTCTCTATTCTGTGATGGTCTGTGAGCCTCGTAAAGGGGTGTACTACTGTGCATCATTTGGGGCTGAGCATTTCACAAACACTTATTCTCTGAATTTTGGTGAGTTGTGATTTTCTTCATTAACTGCCATACACTGCACAAAGAAACATATGATGCAATCTGAGGAGCTGGAGCTGCACTAATCTGTGAATAGAGATTTATGAATTTAGAAGGCAATTTGATTTCATGTCAATTTAATGAAATAACTGTAGTAGGTTCATCCACGTTGTGGATGAGCTCCCCAACCATCAGTTTTTAGCCAGATTGACAATACCAGATAAGTGTTTCATTTTGTGGCGTAGGCTTCAATTCTAATCAGAAAGCAGTTGGTTGCTGCCATAACATTTGTGCCACTGTTGGGCCAATGGATATATCGTGCTGTGCTAGTCATTGGTGTAGCTCACCAAGAGTTCACTCTGAGTAAGACTGTTGACATCTCCTTGTTCCCTTCCCCCAGCAGTTTCCGGTATAATGAGCACTAGGAAGCTCCTTGGTTGGTATTTAACTTATTTCTCCACGTCCTGTGACAAGAGTGTGTAGTATCTCCAGCAAGACTTATCATCAAGTTCTGGGAGGCAACTAGGAGCCTATCCTGTATTGTTGAACAACATTTTAGATGAAATTTAAGTACCTATCTAGTTGCTAGGACTCTTTCCTGAGTAATGAATAATAAATTCGGAAATGTATATATGCAAAGATGTTCACAACAAGGTTACTTATATTTATAAGTGTTAAAATATCCTCTACTCCTGACTATATTGGGATAGTTAAATCAAAGAATAAATCCATACAGGACACAAAATAGTTTAGTACTTTCTAATATATAGATAAAATGCTCCATTTTATACTTGAAAAAAAGATAGGGATTAATATTATTTTGTTTATTGTTAAGGATTTATTTTTTCTGTTTAGTTTTTGGTTAATTAACTTTTAAAGTTTCAGATTTCTTGACAGATTAAAATCTTAATATTGTGATGTTTTATGTTATTTAATAAAAATACAATCTCATGTTGTATAGTTTTTTTTTTTTTTTTTCACTGTTTGAGTGTTGCTTTATTTCTGCCTCTCTTACTAGTCTCTAAGCAACAGGAAGGTCATAATAGTCTTCAAATTGCACATTACCAACACAAGTTCTTAGAAACACCGTCTGTTGTTAAATTGGTGGTTGAAAAATGAAGGCCTAATTGGGCAACCAATTTATCTTAAGACTGTAAATTTACTTATAAAGTACTTGTCACATGGACTCAAGAGGTAGGGTGAAGGGGGTGGCCTCTATCCCACTCTTTGTTTTAAATACAAATATTGGTAAAAGAAGAACGTTGAGAATTTGTGTGATCTGACCGTAGAGTAAAGCAGCTCATGGTGACCACTGTCTGCAAACTCATGGTGTTTGGCTTAAAATCCTTGTCCCAAAGACTGTCCCCAAATTATATTCCTCCTGTTGCACATTTGTACTACTTGGGGTTTCTTCCTCCCAGGGCCCTTTTGGGTGCTGATCTCTTCAGGACCAGCCTGTGGGATGATGGCTTAGTTCTCACTGTTTAGCACTGGCTTGCTCTTTCCTCCTCTGCAGTTCCTCCCGCCGTCTTGCCTGCTGCGCACTCATGCAATCCCTGAAAGCCTGCACTTGTGGCTGGCACTGACGCCAGTCCTGGTGCTGGGCCATGCACTCTTGTACTGCAAAGTGAGAGGCAGCACAGCCAGAGCCGGTGATCAGCCGGTCCAGTGGATCTTCCTCATCATCATCCTTCTTCACCTGCCGGGTCCAGTCATGGCCTTGTGGGACTGAGGTTGACATCTTGAGAAACCCGCAGGTGCAGAAGAGCATGGGAGCTCATTCTGCCCTAGACAACCGGTTCTGCAGGCAGAGAGGACTCTGCCGCTTCTCTCCGCCATAAATGGTTTTAATTAGTTGGGTTTTTCATTGTCACATGCTATAGTCATTTTAATGATTTAAAAAACCCTGTGGATAGAAAATATTTGTCTGAATGTTTAATATGTCTATCCTTTCCAAATACTTTGCCAACTGAAGATAGAACACTTCAGCCTGAAAGCACTGTGCAGGCTCCTTCAGCTGACTCTGTAGTTCCAAGCATTTTTCCCATTTCTGCAATGATCTGGAATTAGCAGGGCATGTTGTAACTAAAGTGCGCCTTTGTAGTCTTTGGAACCCATGAATCCAGACATATCCAAAAGCAATCTGGGTTGAACTCCCCCCTGGAATTTTCATTACTCAGTTGTAACAGTTTCTCTGTTAACGCTGCTGCCTTTCTTGTGCATCCCAAGAAACTGTACTATCCAAAAGCAGTAACCACTTAGCTACACAGTCGGATTTCAGAACTCTTCTTTTAGGTCCATAGAAAATATTTAACTCTATTATAGAGAGTGTGGCATTCACATGCTCAGCAGAACATGCATTCACATAACTGCTTGCTTTCTCAGCCTCAGCTAGGTGGTGTGGGGGGAAGTTACTGAAATTCTCCAAAGTTCAGTTTTCTCAGTTGTCAAAAGCTTGACACCAACTTGTTAAAAAAAAAAAATCCTCTCTGTATAGTGCTACGGTCTTCTGGCGGCAATCCAGCAATCCTTCTTGGTCTTGCAGATCTTTGTAGGGTACTGTGTTACAACAGGGAAAAAAAAAGTGCCTTATGGTGAAAATAAAGGTTTCCAAACTGTTTTTTTGTTTTTTTTGTTTTGGTTTTAAAGAAAGCACACCGAGTGTGCTATGTAGAGTTGCAGGCATGGCAAACTCAGAACACTAGGGAAGTGGACCACGGCTTCGGCTGCACTAGAGCAATTCTGTACTTCACAGCACATTGCTGTCTGTAAGTGCATGCCAAAAGAATATAACCCCTCAATAATTAGCATTTCCACTAGACTTTGTCAATCTGTTACAGCTTTCAATCTTGGTTAACAGAAATAAAGTTATATTGTCGTGTTCTTTGCAGTGGGTACTGTTGTACAAACTGACTGACTCAACTGCTTTTCATCTCCCCCTAAGCTTGCTTTTAATGGGGATTTAAGTGTCTCCCAACTGGACTAATGCTTTGAATAAAGCAGTGGTAAGTAAAGGTGTTTATTATAAGGACCATCAACACTCACAGTGTTGTGTCTATGAAATCATCCATTGAAAGCCTAACCTTAGGTCATTCACAGGAGAAAGCATCTTAGAAGAAGCAAAGGAAAATATATGGTCTTGCAAGATATTTTACCTTTTAAATGTTATTTAAGGTTTCTGTTCTTTGTCTTCAGGATTCACATGAATCTTTTCATTTCAGTTTCGTGAACACCTTTCCCCACTCCAGTTTCCCAAAGGTTAAATAACATCGGTCCTATCTAGACAGGAGCCCTGTTTGACTCTGGGAGTTGACTTTCCCAGTCAGCAGAACCAAGGTCAATTATCTGGAAACGATGCTGCCAATGCTGGCAGCCAGAACTGAGAGGCTGGACAAACTTTAGAGTCTGATTATAAGCCAGCGACAAAGAATTGTTGGCATCATCAGTTCCCCTGAACAAGCAACAAGTGAGCATTCCATTCCAGGGTGGAACCGAGTGCCCACATCACAGTCCTTCCTGACTGTGAGAAAGCTGCATTTAGCTCAGCTCTTAGAAAACAAATAGAGACTGGTTTTGTTTGTTTGTTTGTTTTTTTGCGAACTGTAGTTTCAGACAGATTTTTCTCTTTGAGCAGGATTCTTGTTGAATGAAAAAAAAAAACATTAGAAATATTTTAAAGTATGTTTTGTTTAAGATATTTCTACATATGCAACAAATTAAAAAATGTTTATTTTCAGAGGAGTCTAGCTCTGGATCAGAATGTTGTTGTTGGGTATGAAGACGCAGACATGCCCTTAAGGAATGTGCAGCTGGGACAAGCACATACATATGTGTCTGTGTGTAATTCATATATATGTATATGTATATATTTAACTTACACACACACATAATTTATGCATAGTATCGTCTCTCTGATCACTACAGTAATGGTACAGGGAGGCCAAGTGTCATGAAGGAGCTATTGGGCTACAGACTCACAAAGACCTGGTTTTACATGATGGCTCCTAGCTAATGAACCATAGGAACTGATGTCTCTGAGTCCCTGTTTTTTATCTGGAAATGAAGACATGACATTTATCATGATGGTGCTATCCTAGAGACCAGTAGTGTAAGAAATGTTTAATATGAGTCTTTCCTATCAAATACTACAAGACTTGCGTTTAGGACAGAAATTAAAATTGTTTTATCTTCCCCACACGGTTAAGACTTTTATGCAAATGTTTTACTCCCCCCTCCCACCCCCATAAAACCTGTTTACACAAAGCCTCCCAGCTCTATTCTGGAAATGTGATGACCTGGAGCTGTGACCCCCTTTTCCATGGAGAAGTGACCTCCTTTTTCTTCCTGCTTCATTTCTTACCTACAGTTGTTTTCAGATTAGCTATCTGAATAAGATTGTGGGGTCAGACCCAGGAAAAGACATAGTCATCACCTGAGTTACAGTAAAAATCAAATACACTCTGGTTTTGGCCTGTTCACTCAGTGAACTCTTAGTCAAGAGTGAGGTTTGCCTTGTCCAGACACTCCAACTGAAGTGATCTCCTTCCTTCCTACCTTCCTTCCTTCCTTCCTTCCTTTCAGTTTTTTTCAAGACAGGGTTTCTTTGTGTAGCCTTGGCTGTCCTGGACTTGCTTTGCAGACCAGGGCTGGCCTCAAACTCACAGAGATCTGTCGGCCTCTGCCTCCCTGAGTGCTGGAATTACAGGTGTGTGCTACCACACCCGGCTGTCCCCCGACATTTCAAACCGTAGACACACTCAAAACTTTTACTATAGTATGTTCCACAGAGCAAAAGTTCTCATAGTGTCTCTTGTATTAACCTTATGACAATGATACGATTTATTACTGACCCCCTCCTCAGCGTAGACACATTAGATAACCAGGAGGAAAAGTGTCTTACCCACCACACTTGTCCTAAGAAGGTCAAGCCACCACACTGCTTGGATACCTTATTCTAAAGGAATACTTTATTCATCAGCTCAGGTGAAAATAATACCACCCCCACAATTTTTGAGACAAATTTTAAGCAGTTTTATTAAATACTGGCCAGGGCAATGGACACCGGCCAGGTCCATGCCTGAGATTCACAGAGCTTGGCAGTGACTTAGTCAGGTTTCTTATAAAGGCAAAACCCACAAGGCTACAACGTATTTCATGCGATTAGAGGAAGGCATGCTGACTGACTTCCCGCCTTTGTACTTCCTGCATCCTTGAGGTAAAGCCTATGCTTCGGGGGCAACCAGACTTGTTGCAGAATTGAAAACATGCAGCGCTTATCTTATGAGAATCATAGGACCCCAGCATTCCTGGCAGTTAGCTGTCAACGGGCAAGTGGGGCTTGCAGGTTGATCTGGAGAGAAAGTAATCACCTGAACGTGGCCAGCAGACTAACCTTGGTGGTGAAAGGAGAGAACAGGCCAGTCAGTCCAGGTGCCCCTCTCGGAGTACCAGGGTGACTCTGGCAGACAGTCACTAGACTTTAGAATTTCAAGATGTTTCTGTGGTAAAACATCCACAGAATGAGAAGGTTTAAGAGACGACAAGACAAACACAGAGGTCATATGCCTTAGCACTAGCTGTGCTGGCTAGTTTTACGTCAACTTGACGAGCTAAAGTCAGCTGAAAGTAGGGAACCTCATTTGAGGAAATGCCTCCAGGAGATCCAGGTGTTAGCATTTTCTTAGTTGTTGATTGATGGGGGAGGGCCCAACCCACTGTGGGTGGTGCCATCCCTGGGCTGGTGATCCTGAGTTCTGTATGAAAGGAGGCTGAGCAAGCCAGGGGTAGGGAGCCAATAAGTGGCACCTTTCCCCGTGGTCTGTGTGTCGGCTCCTGCCTCCGGGTTTTTGCCCTGTTCGAGTTCCGGTCCTGACTCCCTTCAATGACAAAGAACAAAGTGGAACTGTGAGCCCAATAAATCCTTTCTCCCTGATTTGCTTTTTGGTCATGGTGTTTTGTTGAAGCAGTGGAAACCCTGACTAGGACAGTGCCTGACTACCTGACCAGAGAATCAAAACTGGGCTGGGGCATGACTGACTGCCCTGCTCCCCTCTCCGACAGCGTGCATTGCCTATAAAGCCTGGTGGCTGGAGATGAGTGCAGGGCAGAGTCTTTAGGGTATTAATCCATTGTCTTCTCATTGCTAGCTCTCTGAATAAAGTGCAGCTTGAAGAGTCAGTTTCGTTCTCCCTCAGCGCTGCTTCGGGGAATCAAGCCTTATGGGAACGCTGCTGTTGTGCTGACTGAGGCAGAATGGCCGCGGGCCACCCTAGTAAATCACAGAGCTCTGGAGGAGCCAAGGAGTTCAGGAGTCACTATTGCTGCCTAGATTTGCAGGGGCCCAGCGTTCTGGCTGGAAAATTCCCCAGCAGGCACCATGTGATTTTGCTTGGGGATTTTCCCTGTCCTTGTTCCTTCCTGGCCCTCTATTGATTTCATCTAACAAACTGAATTGCAGAGCTCTTTGGTTTGGTTTCTGGGTGAAGGCTTGTTTGACCTCTGCTCTTAAGTGCTTTCTCTTTGGTTCTCATTCCTGGCTATAGCCTGCGTGACCTCTGTTTTTAAGGTGCCATTCTATTCTGTTTTTTTCTGTTTTATTTCATGTCTTTATTGTTGCAATGGGTATCACAGCCCCTATTCCTGGTGATAGCACCTTGGGATATGTTCTGGCAAATTGGTATGACTATACTTATACCTCTAGAAGAAAAAAAAAATCTGTTTGATATTTCTTATCCCATACTTTTTGTGT